CTCCAACTTGGGCAGTCAATATTTTTTATTATTATTATTTACACAGCAATGGGAAATCACAGCTGCCAGTTCTTTAGCTGGTGTTGGCCTTCATTCGCACCGAGTCATCATAGTCCTTCTCCTCCTCCTCCTCCTCCTCCTCCTCCTCCTCAATTTATTGGCTGCCCAACCCCAGTGGACTCTTTAATAATGATTATTATATTATTTATATAGTATATTATCAATAATATTATTAAATTATATATTAAATTACATATAATAGTATAAATTATATTATACATTATATTAATAAATGCTGTTAGAATGATGGATTCTGCCAATCCAATTTTAGGGCCTCAAAGGTTGATTTCCTTTGGACAAATGCTTGGCGTACATGGGCATCACCGAGAAGCCAGCATCAGGGAATATATTTTGAATTTCTGTATATACTCGTGTATAAGCCCATCTGCTGATAAGCCAACCCTCAAATTTTTAACCAAAATATCAAGAAAAATGCACCACCCACAGATAAACCAATTGTGAAAATTAAAGCATGCAAAAAATTTGAGGTCCTGTTTATCTGCAGATGGGCCTATACATGAATGTATATAGGATATATGGGTACTTTAAAAAAGTTGAGGGAAGAATTGACTAAATATATTTGCAGATAAGCCCATCTGCAGATAAGGAGAACTCAAAACATGAGTATATTTTGGCACCTAAAATTCTTGGCTTATCCATGAGTATATACAGTAGTTTAAATCTCTCGGTCCTTCAATCCTAAGGCACTGAAGGCACTAATGAATTATTTTAAGAGATCTGGAAGAACTCATGAAGTAACAGCTAAGAAAGCTACTAAATGTCTCTATCTTCAAAATAGCGGAAAAGGAGAATCCAGAGACCTCTAGACAAGAGTCTCAGATTGGTATCTGAGAAGATTCTAGAGCAGATGCTAAAATGATTTATCTGTAAATATCTGCCAGCCCTTCGAGGTACTCCAGAAAAGAAACCAAAACCATGAGTACTAACACTTACTTTATTGTAAGGTTACAGTAACAGTCTTGCAAGTCTGAAAATACTTCTCATTTCCCTTGCCTTTACTTTCCAGAGAACTAGGGAGGGTCCCTTCTTAGATGCTTTCTCCACCCCCATTCCTTCTATGGGCTGAGATACCTCTTGTCTGACCATTGTCAAGGCTGTGGCTCCTCCTCCTGTCTCTCAAGGTCATTCTCACAGCCCATTACAGTATCCTGAAAACAGTAGTGTAATTACCAGAAGTCAACATGATTTGAAAGTGCTGGACAATCTCCTCTTTTTACTTGTAACTACTTTAATGGATTAAGGGAAAGCTGTAGATATAATATACCTTGATTTCAGCAAAGCATTTGTCAGAGTACTCCATGTCATTTTGATTAGCAACTTAATTAAGTGTTGGATGGATGGCTTTAGGGCTAGGGTTATAGCAAGTTAATAGCATGGCAACTCAGTAATTTCAATGGTTACTTGTCAGTTTAGAGAAAGGGATTGAATTGGCTAAAAGTTCAGTTTTACTCTTCAATATTTTTATTAAAGACTTGGATGAAGAGATGAAGGAAATGCTTATCAGATTTGCAGATGACACAAAACTAGTATGAGATATAATATGCTAGAAGATAAAAATAAAACTCAAAAGGATCTTGATAGAGTGGAAAAATGGGTTGAATATAGCAGGATGAAATGTAATAGAGACAAATGCAAAGTTCATTCCTTAGAAGAAACAAACAAATGAACAGGCATAATATGGAGCTTAGTAATAGTACTTCTGGAACAGGCATAATCTTGGCTTAGTAATAGTACTTCTGAAAAAGATAGTAATTGACAGCATATGAGTCAGCACTGTGATGTGGTTGCAAAAAGAGCAAATGCTATTTAGGCAGTTTCAACAGAAATATAGATTCACCATCAAAGGAAATAATCATTTCACAGTACATGGCATTGGTCATCCCCAAACAATTGCATCCTATTCTGGGCATCACATTTTCAGCAGGATTCAGAGAAACTGGAATAAGTTCAGTAAACAGTAGTGAGAATAATCAGGGGACTATAAACTATTATGAAGAGAGATTGAAGGAGTTGCTAAGTCCTGAGAAGAGAAAACTGAGGGGCACATGATAGCACACTCACAGTGCCTGAAAGGATGTCACATAGATGAAAGGGAAGTCCTGTCCTCTGTCATTTGAGTGCAGAGCATAGATATTAGATTTCAGTTAGTAAGGCAGATTCAAACTTTCCAATATTATGTTTGACAGTAGAGCCCATTAACCAGAGATGGGTCTTCCTGTTCATTAAATTTGTTCAAGCAATGGATAGAGAGCCATCTGTTTGAGATGCTTTAATTGCATCCCTGCGGTAAGCAGGAGATAGAACCAGCAGTGTCTGCAGGAGGGGGTCAAAATAAGCAAGAGGGGGGACATGGTGTTGAGATCCAAGCCCAAGCCCTTTTGTAAGTGCATGTGATATCAACACATAGAAAAGCAGCAGGGCTTAGAGCACAATGCCACATCTAACATATTGCCTGTCTGAGTTTCCCCCTTCCCCTACTCTGTAGACATCACTGGGTAGGACTCAGTGGCCTAAATTTCCTCTTTCAACTCTACAGTCCTATGGGTTTACTCTGTCTAAAGATGACCTTGACAAACCAAAAGTTCTAGTTAACAGACTTAGATAGCAAAGGATGGGAAATTTGTCCATTTCAGTCTCTGAAAAGCTTTTATCATTTGAAAAAAAATACATAGTATTAAAAAGACTCTGAGATGAAAATAGCTGAAAAGGTTGGATTGAAAAAGACATAATTTCTCACCATTGGCTATGCTGGTGAAGGCTGATGGGATCTGAAGTTCAACAATCTCTGAATGCTTAATTGACCATCCAGAGGTTCACAGTAAAGTTAAAAGATGTTCATTAAAAATAGGTATTGCACAGGAAATTTATCTACTGAGGATGCTCCTAATCCAAGTCAGTAGCAAGAAGTGGTAGTAGACCGAGATGATTCAGTCTTTTAGATATATGACTCTTGACTCCAAATTTAATTTCAGAATTAGATGGCCCAACTGAATAAAGCACAAATCTGCATTTGGAAATTTGAAACATAAAGTATTTATAACATCCAGTTCTGAAAGCATTATTAAAAGGCTTCTGCATTTTAAAGTTAGGAGTTTCTGTATATTGTTTCTTTCTAATGCCCCAAATTTATCTGGGAAAATTCCAAAAAGAATAGTGAATCAAAGGAATTTATCTACCCAAGACTTTTAAATCTGGAATCCTGCATTGAACAAAAGGTTTGACTTGATAGTCCTTGGCTCTATGTCTCTATAATCTTCTTGAGTTTACTGTGATTAATATGCCATTTTCCCCCAAATCCCTTCTTGCTCAGTGCCACAGTTTGTTCTCCAGATTCTGGTATTTTCACATCACCTTAAAATCTATATCCTACCCAAGCATTTACAGGCCATCTCTATATAAGCCTACTCAGAAATAAGTATATTGAACTCATTGAGGCATATTTTCCAAGATGGAGGATAACATTGGTGCAATCCCATATTCACTGACTGTGGATCAAGATCTGATGAACTTCATGGGGCTTAATTCTGAGCAGACATATATAGGAGTGCACAGTTAGTCATTAAGGTGTTCGTGAAAATGGGGCAATTATTGAATGAGGACGGTTCATCTATCACATTCCCATTTCTCTTGCCTTTGCCATTTCTCTGTTGATAAAGTTCTAACCATGAAACAAGTTAGAAGATCATCATGAATTCCAGTTCTATCTCCATTTTAATTTTATTCTACCTTACCATCCTAATCTAAAGCTAGGCATATAATCACAGGGGATGCAGCACAGTGGCTGAAAACAAGAGGGCCACTCACTTAATTGCTAAAGGCTCGTGCAGGAAAAAAGTATCATTCCTTTTTCTTCTTGTCATCCTGCAATTGGATGAAAAATGATTCACTTTAGAAATTTCATTCAAAGGAGAAGAGAATTTTGGTGAAATTTTCATTGGCTGAATGGGCAGTCTTTGTACTTGCTTAGCAGATCGAGGAGTGTGTGGAAGCATCCCACAGAATCATTGAGCAATCACTAGTCTGCTGCCTCCCTGACTTCCTGTGCTTTGCTCTGCATAAAGTGGAATTCCTTGCATGGGACTTTTTCAATAGTCTTCAGAGGAATGGAAGAGTGAGTAACTTAAACAACATCAATAGTAGCCCTCTCCATCTCCTCTTATATTAAAAACCCAGAAGTGAAATTTAAACAAATTCACAAGCACCTTGAGAAAAAGGTAGAAAAATGAAAGGCTCTTTTGACAAGTAAGAAAGCTTTTGGGAAATTGCAAGGCAGATTTTGGCATTGAGTGACAGATTGGTTATGGGTATTAATTCTTAGTGACCACATAGATAGACCTTCTGTAGGATAATCTGCCCATATCTTCACCCTCCAGGTCTTCCTACAATATACCCATCACCACTATAATTGAGTCCATCCACTTTGTTGCTGGTCATCACCTTCTTCTCTTTCCTTCCACCTTTTCTAGCATTATGGACTTCTCAAGGAAACTTGGTCTTTGCATAATGTGTCCAAAATATGATAATTTGAGCCTGGTCATTTGTGCCTCAAGTGAGAATTCTGGATTGATTTGTTTTATGATCCATTTGTTTGTTTTCTTTGCTAACCATGGTATTCTCAGGAATCTTCTCCAACCCCAAAGTTCAAAGTGTCAATGTGCTTTCCAACTTGCTTCCTCAAAGTCCAACTTTCACTTCCATAGAGTGCCAGAGGGAAAATCATTGCCTGCACAGTTCTAATCTTTGTAGACATAGACACACCATGGCATCTGAGTATCTTTTCCAAGGCCTTCATGGCGACTGTACCGAGTGCTAGTGTGCAGTGTATTAAATTAATTAAATTAAATTATTAAATTAATTTTTCACTGTGCTCTTGACTTCCATTAGCATTAGATAAAAGCGGACGTTATACATGCTGTTTTGAAAGATGTGTGGTGGAAAGGATGGCAGGCAGGGGAAAAATAGTTATTTCATGGAACAGATCTAGGTTGATCAAATAATGTAAACATGGCCAAAGGGTTTACCTCATGCTAAAAATATAGCACATTTATTAAAAATATATATTTATAAACATTGGTATGAATGGACATTGATGTCAAGATAACGAGAGAAGAGGAAAAAGAAGTGTTGTTACTTACTTTGTTCAAAGTTTTATCTTTTGTTTGCTCAGGTAACTCAGCAGAATCCATCTTTCCCTCCCTGCTTCCCATATGTGATTACACCATACAAGTTCACTTGAAGCTAAAAAGCCCACTTGCCACAACCTAACTAGAACCCCAAAGAGAAGATGTGACCTAATGAAACACAAAAGACAGCTACCTTGCTATCTGTGGAACATATTTTGGCATGGAAATGCTATACATTTGTCACTATTATCATAGTGTCCAGTCTTTGGCTGAACTGAAATGCTTTTTCCCAAATCAGAGATTTACATATTTGCAGTCATTTCTCTAGAACGAATGAAAATAGAGAAAGGGGTGGAAAAAAGAGAAAGTTTTCTTTTAACTATAGGGAACAAAAATCTGGCTCAGTTAATTGTGTTTCAGCCTCCACCATTCACAAGCAATCCTTTTGTGACTACTTGATATACTAAAGAGTCATTTCTCAGGAAGTGGTGAATCAGCAGTCAACAAGTTTGCCAGTGTCTCTTCCCAGTTGTCATCACCAGTTTGCCCTAGCAACTCACAACGTTGTATAGATGTACACAAAAATGATCACAATGAGGTTTAGAATTGTCCCAATAATCCCCAGCAGGGCGAGGATGGACTCCTCCTTGCTCTCCTTCTCTTGGTTTCCTTTTTCTTCTTCATTTCCGCTAGTGATTACCATCTTGTTTGCCAATTTCTCAAATGTTCTTCTCAGAGTAACCTACAGTTTGGAGAAAGAGAGTGAAGGCTAATTGACCATTTCCAATCAGAACTTATGATAGGATTACAATACACTTCCCCACCCTGGTGCTTTCCAGACCAACTAGGATCACTCCTCTCAGATCTGACAGTCAATGACCATTTTCTGCACCCAAAATAAAAACATTCCTTACTCCCCATCTGAGTAAGCAACACAGTGCTCTCGCTACAGATTAGACCTAAATGCTTGGAGGAGGCTGAAATTATTCTGAGGGATGCTTGAAACCAGAATGGAGGCTCCAGGTTATCTGCCCCTGTTTTAAATGCAAATACTAAGCCCTTTGAGCCAAGCCTTAGCTGAGAAAGGAATTAAGGTTGTATATTGCCAGCTTTGGTTAGATCACTGAACTGCCACTTTTTATATCAGCAGCCATTTCCAAATGCTTTTCAAATCCAGCCCCACATTTTGATTTCAAAAATATGTATCCTGTAAAGCTCTAAAGGAACATGTGACCATGGCCAGGAACAGATGGCAGAGCCCCCACAAAAAACAAACTTGGAGGCTTGTTTTCCCACTATGCAGGCTTGCCTTCCAGCCAAGAAAAAAAAATGGTCTGGCCATGGTTTTGTTTATTTCTTCTGTTGGACTTGCAAGCCAATTCGTTTTAAGATAGTTTCCCATCCACCTCCTCTTTTTGCATAGTTATAGATACTGGCGGGGGGGGGGGGGACAGAATCAAGACAGCACCACTACTGTGCAATTGATGCCTGTAAAAAAGGGGCAAGTCTTCAGTTGTGTGGTTGTAGCTGGCATCTTGATTTTTTAATCCCCCTGCAGAGGGTTTTTTTAATCTCCCCTTGCAGAGATACATCGGTCCAGGGTTGATAGCTTGCCACAGTTCATTTGGTCCCAATGTTTGCAGGCAGTCAAGCTCCCCAATATTATTTTCAACCTTGAGATTTTCCCCTCTTTTTTAAAAATACAGTAAAATAAACTATTAAAAAAGTGTGCATATATTTTGATAATCTTATCACATCTTTTTGAGTTATAACATGTATAGCCCTTTCCACAAAAAAGAAAGCCCCCCCCTCAAAAAAAAAAAAAGCATTACAAGCCCTGTAGTTCTTGGCCTCACCAAAAAATGAACACAGTGTGCCTCATACCCCTTGTCAAGGCTAAATAGAGATTTATTATTTCTATCAAATGGGAAGTCCACTCTGTAGATACGCAAAGCATTTTAAGAATAAAACTTAAGATACAAAAAAGATCTTTTTTTAAAAGAAAAGATTTAAAACAGCAGCTTTAAAAAAGACAAATAATAAACAGGAAGTTAAATCCACAAGTTAAACAGCCAGACTTTGCAAACAGGAAGAATTAAGCCCCAAAGCCTTCCTTGAAATAACCCAGGGTTCTGTTAGCACCTCCCTAGAGAAATGCATCGCTAGGGAAGTTAGCCTACCTTCTCAGCAATGCACTTTACAAAGCTGGGTCAGAAATTCTTGTCCGAGGGCCCATAGATAGAACCAAGAATGCAGTTTGTGAAGCCATGTTGCCATGACCTTTGTCAGTTATTAGGTCTACGCAGACTGACTAGGATTTGTTTCAGTGAGATGCTTTGCCTTATGGAGGTTCATCATTGCATATCAACAGGATAAGGCAGGACCAATATTCCTCAATAACTGGCTTTGCTTCAGGGTCAGAGGTATCTGCACACATGGAGTGCAAACACAGAACCCTCTGTTAGCCAACTAAGTGGCGCAACCATGGTTACTCCTTGCTCAGAAGGCTGGCTAGAATTTTCAGGGCTGAAGTCTAGACTGGGAACTTGAAAACAAATCTCTCTCTCTCTCTTTAATTTATAGGCTGCCCACTCAAAATGACTCTGGGAGGCATACGGATTAAAAACATAAAAAGTTGAAACAACAGTCAAAATTGTAAAAAGAAAAGATGACTGAACAGACAACAAACACAATAAAAGCAAAACCAACCCACAAAAGCATACAGTACCTTTAGGCTCATCTAAAAGAAAGTAGAGTTGGGGCTATTTGGATATCTTGGATGCTGTTCCAGAGGGCAGGTGCCATGACAGAGAAGGCATGCCTCCTCGGTCCAATCAGAAGCTGCCACTTGGTAGATGGGACTCAAACCACTTAGCTCTGTCGGATCTTACAAGATAGGTAGGCACCACAGGAAAAATAAGGTCCTTCAAATAACAAGGCTCTATGCCATGAAGGGTTTTAAAGGTGTCAATCAGTGCCTGAATTGCACTCAGAAATCTACTGGTTAGCAGTGCAGCTCACATAGCAGAGGTGTTACATGGCATATTGTAGCATGCCCATAACTCCCACATACCACATTCTGGGCCAGTTGAAGCTTCTGAGTGTCTTCAAGGCAGCCCATATAGAATGCATTGCAGTAATCTATATAAGAGGTGACCAAAACATAAGAAATTGTAAGTAGCCACCACCGCAGCCCATTCCAGGAATGGGCATAATTGGCACACAAGATGGATTTGTGCAAAGACTTTCCTGGCCACAACTGTCACCTGCTCTTCATGCAGGAACTGTGAGTCCAGGATGATCCCCAAATTGTACACCAGTTTTGTCTGGGGAGTGTTATCCCATTCAGAACTAAGGATGGAACAAAAGGTCCATGAATCCAGAGCCACATGGACTTGTCAGGGTTGAGCCTGTCCCTACCCATCCAGGCCCTCACAGCCCCCAAGCACTGTGATTAGACTTTGACAGCATCACTTGGTTGACCAGGGTTTGAGATATATAACTGAGTATCATCAGCATATTGTTGATATCTGACCATGTCAATAGATGACCTCACCCAGCAACTACAAACCCTATGGTACCCCAAAGACCAAGGGTTTAGGGTCTGACTTCTCTCCCCCTGTCAACATGACTGGAATGGACAATAGAGAAAGGAGAACTACTGTAACACATGCCTCCCCCTCCCATAGTAAGTCCAGAAGGATACCATGATCAATAGTATTAAAAACTGCTGAGAGATCAAAAAGAATTAAACAGATATACCATCCCTGTCTCATCTCTGCTGAAGGTCATCAGCAGATATGACCAATGCCATCTCCATACTATGCCCAGGCCTGAAACCTGACTGAAAAGGGTCCAGATAATCTGCTTCATCTAAAGTCCCTTGGAACAGCAAGCCAACCACCTTCTCAACAAAGTCTCAAAGACTGGATGAACATTGTCCAGACCTGTTGGTCCAGTGATGGCTTCTTGAGGAGTGGGCACAGTACCATATCCTTCAAGGTGGGTGGGACCACCTCTTCCCTTCACCATCACATAGACCTAACTACCTGTTACCTCTCTGGAGGCCTTGATCAACCAATTTATTATGGATCCAATAGACAAGTGGCTGAGTTAACACAGCTGAGAATCTTATCCATTTCATCAGGAGTTAGAGTATTAAACACTTCCCAGGTAAGAGGACAAAACTGTGCCTCAGTTACCTCAAGTGGACCTGCCCAGTAGCTGTCCAACTCTGAGTGAATCTGACTGACTTTATCGGTCTAGATGCCTAGAATATTCCTCACAGCTTCCTCTCTAGACAGTCTTTCTCCTCCAGCCCTCAGATCCAGAATGGCCCTTCACACCATGTGCTGCTTAAATGCTTGCTGCTTCATTCCCGAACACCACCTAGATTATGCCTCCTGCCCCATCCAATAGTAGTAGAAGAAATGACTAGTCCAGACAGGAGTATTTAAAAAAGTAATACCCCCTCTGTAAGCAGGCAAGATGACTTCCAATCACAGCAGCTAAAGACAGAATAGAAACATTCAATACACTTTTATCTGGAATAACCATGTTTCAGATCGTATTTAAAACCATCCATCCCTGTTTTGATCTGTGTCCAGACAAAACATCTGAAATAGGCAGAGATCACCTGAAACCAGCAGTTCCACATACAGAACAGTTTATGCCTGGAAGGTTTGAAACATCCCTACAGCTTTACCTTTTGAGTTCTCAATCTGAGTGTGATTGAACTCTATTATTTAGATGTTCTAAAATCACATCATGTTTGGACAGGATTAATTCCTCAAAACAGGTCAACTGATAAAAAAATTTGCCAGGGTTTCTTTTTTTTGGGGGGGGGGGGAATGAAATAACAAGCATTATAAGGGAACAAAGTCAAATTTGTAAGTTAATGTGGAGGGAGGAGGATTAACAGCAACCACCTGGAATGAACAACATGAGGGCTGGTAAAGGATGTTTGAGTGTAAAAATTGCCTGTCCAAGGTCAGTGTGGGAGATCTTGGATTTGTCACAATTTTTCACTTCCTCCCTTCTATCAAGTCTGTATTTCTTCTTTGTTAATCAGTCAGGCCAATAACACACTGTCTCATTACCAAAATATGACAAAGGAGGGCACCAATTTGGATTGCCCATATTAATTTGCATGTAGAGATAGACATTGAGAAATGATGGGGAAATGCATTGTTTTCTATCTAAATTACAACTTAGATAGAAAATAATGTGTCTCCCCATCACTAAAACTATGACGGAATAGGCTGTGTACCTGCTCAGTCTGCTTTCCAGGACCAACTGTTAACTGGCAACTTCCAGCCCTTAGGCTTTTCTATCTGAAAGCTTTTAAAAGCTGGACTTACATTGGGTACTCTTTCCATTTATTTTGTTTGCCTTTTAATACAAAACAACCTAACTCATAATTTTTGAACTAAAATATGAATGATAATATAACTGTCCAATGTTTGCAGTTCTCTGAATGTTGAAATGGAATTCTCCAATTTAAAAAGATGTATAAAGCTTTGTAAACTAGGGAAAATTGTTTATAAAATGCATATTCTAGTGACAATTGGACAAAAAAACATCTACATATGTGAAAATGTATATAAAATACATATATTAGCACAAAGTAAAATTACCTATAAAATGAACACATAGGAGAATTATTCGCAGCACTGTATATATGTGGAGAAATATAAACAAAAATATGAAGGAATTTGCATCAAGATTTAAAACAAAAAACAA